CCCCACACACACACACACCCAGCAATAGTTTTTGTTCTGTCTGTGTAAGAGGATTACATTCCTGACTTTCATATGATTTATAATCACTGGAGAAGTTACATAAAATTGTTTTGGTTAGTTATGATTGATACACAGTTTTGGTTAGTTATGATTGATACACAGTGAATAGCTGCTGAGTGCAACGTGAATTTTTCAGTACACATGTTTACAATGGACTGTCAAATACTCATGGCTTTATATTTGGGTTGTAGATGTCTGCTTAAAAGGACTTCCGCTCAAGTCAATCCCCTCCTGATTGGCGCCTTTGCCTATCATGACCAGTTTTGTGCAGACATCCCTATGACTCAGACAACACAGTTTACCTTTGGAGAGGACTTAAGATATGACAGTCTGTGCAGGATCTCAACCCAGTTGCATGTAAACAGAATGTCATTTGGCAGATAACATCCTTAAACACACAATTGTCCAGCAGATTATTAGACAAGGACTCGAGAGTTGAGGCAAAGTGGGGGGAGGAATCTGGTGCCTAAGATGCTGCTGTTTCTGTCCATGTTATGATGGTATAATAAAGTGCAGAAGGGAGATACTTTACATTGCAATATTAGGTACCGTTATTTGAGCAGAACTTGGAAATAGCTTTTTAAATTATTAAATTAGCATTATCATTCCAAGGCCCCCAAAGTGGCTAGCTGCCATTGTAGTCAGAGTGTTAAAACAAATTTTACTTTTTTTATTTCTCTATCATAAATAGTTTCAATCACTTTAGAATAGAAGTGGGAATTCTATGGCTCTCCAGACATTGTTGGAATGTATCTCCCATCATTCCTAACCAGTTCAACAATGGCTGAGGGGAGGAGGCATAATTCCCACCCTTGCTTAGAATGTCTCAGGCTGCATTTGCACTGCAGAAATAATGCAGTTTAACACCACATAAACTGCCATGGCTCAATGCTATGGAATTGTGGGATGTGTAGTTTTGTGAGATATTTAGCCTTCTCTGTCAGAGACCTCTGGTACTGCAACAACCTACAAATCCCAGGTTTCCATTTCATTGAGGCATGACAGGTAAAGCAGTGTCAAACTGCATTATTTCTGCAGTGCAGGGGCATCCTGAATGTTACAATTTGTTGGTGTGTAGTACAAAGCATAGTTGATCAGATTGCCTTTGCTCCCACAATAGATGCAGGATGTAACTTTAAGAAGGTGGATCTTATCACATTTTCCCATCGCCAGGCAGTACACAGCCCATATGCAAAACAGGCTTCTTCAGGCTTATCCTACATCTTTCGAAGAATGGGATTTTCCCGTTCTTGAAAAGCTGCGACAGAAGCCTGGATTGTATACGGGCTGCATACTGCCTGGCAATGAGGGAATGCGGTAAGGTCCACCTTATTAAAGTTACATGATTCCTTCTTTGGAGGTCTTTAAACAGAGGATGGATGGCCATTTGTTGGGAATGCTTTGATTTTGAGCTCCTCCATGGCAGGGAATTGGACTAGATGGCCCTTGTGGTCTCTTCCAACTCTATGGTTCTATGATTCTATACATCCCATGTCTATTGTGGTAGCAAAGGCAATGCGATAAACTCTAGTGTCTCCTCCTGTCCACCATGTTTTCAGCTCAGCACCAGCAGAGCACAAGACATGGCATGAGTCAACACTGAAATAATATTACAGGCAGACATCAAGTACAAAGGCTTTTTATGCCCAACCAGTCCCCTTCCTCTTTGACCTCTACCTATCTGGAAGTTTTTTTAGCAGCATTAGTATTGGAGGAAAGCAGAGGAGGGCTGGTTAAACACAGACTTTGGTTGTTGGTATGTAGAGAGATCTTGTAGCACCTTTGAGAGTAATGGGGGTTGCAGACTGCCAGAAATAGTGCAAATTGAGTCCACTTTTAGGGTTAGTGCTAGGGAATCATGGGAACTGTATTTTATTGTGGCACCAGAGCTCTCTGACAGAGAAGGCTCAATGTCTCAG